CAGCAGGAAGGTTTGGTTGTTCAGTTCTCTGCAAAATCAGAATTTTCAGCAACCCTGAAGTTAAATTATTACTTACAGTAAGCACTAATACACTTTAAAGTATTAGAACTTGCAGCATAATCCCCTTAAGAATGGTAACACATGAATATTACCACTATATTACCTTCACTAAAATTAGTGGAAAAAATTAATCCCTTCCTGGTGTAGGTAAGGCTTCAGCTACAAGTCTGAAAGATTCACTGAAGAGCCTCCCCTTGCTTCCAGGGGCAATTCAGGTCCCCCCAGCCCCCAAACATCAACTAACTTGTCTTCCTCTGTTACTCTCGGTGCTACAAGCAGCTCCCAAACAGACCTACCCTGCTATTAAATCTTTCACTGTTCAGAAGCAAACAAGAATGGCAACAGTTTACACACAGCACTACTGTGAAGTAGTGTAGTACTACTGGGTTTCACATCTTTACTATTAAGAGCTTCCCTCACTGTGGGCTACTTCCAGAAGCAAACAACAACCACAAGCTCATACAGTGACTGAAGCCACTGGCCTCATCCCCACCAAAACCAGAGCCAGTGCCACTACACTGCAGCACAGCTGGAAATGGCCTTTACTGAGTTAGCTCCATCTCTGACTTAGAAACAGGTGTTGTGTCACAAAAACCTCGTTTTGCCAGATAAGCAAGACTGGCGCTTCAACCTGCATTGATTCAGAGATAATTTAAGTAGAACCTTGCTATTTAGGTTTTAAAAAACTACAATCATTCCATACTCCAGTGACGCAGTGTCTGTCTTTCTAGGCAGTTGCTTCAGGATGTTTTACAGCAGGGGCCTTGAGAACTGAACATGCAGTCTGTTACACACGGTGTGATGCTAGAGACAGCTCTCAGGGTAGAACAATGGTTTAAATCAAATAAAAATCAAAACAAACTACAAAAATTTGCAGAAATCTATTTCTAGACTGAACTACACTGAAGGAATATTTGTGTGAACAGGTTCAATTTTAGTGATGTGTCCAACAAGCCATGCAGGTTAATTTTGCTATTTGTTCCTGAAGAGCCATCCAATGATTTCTGAAGCCACTGAATTTTGCTTTTTAAAGCCTGAAGACTTAAATCATCAGCTCTTCCAGTTTAGGAAGCCTTCATAAAGCAGGCTGAGCTACGCAGCGCAGCCTTCTCCACGCCACTTGGAGATGGTGTGAACTGGGATTTATCATTCAGCTGTTTTGTACAGCAAGTCATACCTGGCACCCGTAAGGGAGAGCACACCGAGGAACATGTGCAGCAAGGCAGGCAGGTGCTGTCAGTATGACCAAGGCTTTAAATCCTCCCCATCAGGAAGAGGATATTGTAACTTCCTCTTGCCAAAGAATGGCAACAGTTTACACACAGGATAGATACGCTAAGTTTAATTGTGCCTTGCAAAAAAAGCAGCCCCGAAATCTCTGAGTGGAGAGTAGCATCCTCCTGTTACATGCTTTTTCCATGCAACAGCAAGATCAGCAGAAGACCAGGAAGTCCGGTTTAGGACAGACCTGGCCAAAGGTGCACGGAACACAGGACTTGAGGGCCTCTAAGATACTGTTATTTATACATGTAGACATGCTGGGATTTTTTTTTTAAATGCCAGGAAGGTTTTATACCAAAACCGACAAGACTAGGTAGTCATCTGTCTCCAACAAGGAACTGCTGGAATCGGCTTTAATCACTGATGTCAGCTGCAAGTTTGCTGTAAACAGGTACTCACAACAGCCTCAAATCCCCAGTCTCTGTTTTACCACCCAAGAAATTTTGAAGAGGAGCATGACTGTCATTATGATTACATACTGCTTGTGTAAGTAAACAGAATCCAGAAGACATAATGACACTTTGCATTGCAGATTGCTATTTAGCAAGGTTAGAACACAAATTATTTCAGATGATTCCAGCAACCCAGAAGCTGTCACACTATTGTCATCTACTGAACACCATCACACAAGACTGAAAATACCACCCCCCCAGGTATTCTCTAACACTTCTGAAGAATGCAAAACCCACATATTTACTCCCAAAAGCACTTCATTTCCTCATCTCCCCTTGAAATAGGTATCTAGAACAAGATCCAGACACTACAGAAGATTGATCAAGATTAATTCTTGATACCACTTGGCTGTTTGATAGCTCACCCACCAGCATGTTTATGCTAGTCGGCCTACTACATGCAAGTTGCAGAAGGGGTAGGAAATGCCGAACCTGATGTGATCTAGTCACAACAGAGTCAATATTGACATTCTGCTCATTTAAACACCATAAGGCAGGGAGCAACACAGAAGGAATACATCCCAGTGCTAGGTGGGCAGGTGTTTTCAGAATTTAGTTTCCAGCTGCTAGCACAAATACCTCATCCATCCCTCTTCAGCTCCTTCCCTCAAATGAAGGGCACATTAACTAGTCCACCAGGCTGTCTGAAGCTCTTAAGCACACACTCCCTGCAGACCCTAGCACCAGCAGCCTCTAGTCCTGTAACTTTAATAGGGAAATTGAAGGAGGCAGGTCTTTTTATTAAGCAATTTTAACTAGCTATCCCACTGACCTCTGACAGAGTTCTGGCATACCCAGGAGAGAGGATTTGGGGCTACAACCTGATCTGAAGCTGTGATAAGGAAGCAAGCATCTGTTACGTTATAGACAAGGTACTTCTAAAAGGACAGACAGACATCTGTATCTGTTACAGGTAACTAGAAAGAATTATGTTATAATCCCGTAAATCTTATTCCTTGTTTAACACTGATCCAAGTATACATACTACAGTGACAAATCTTTTCTGTTCATCTCACCACACCCATCCCACCTCCTATCCTCATTCTGCAGACACAACCCTGTCAGGAAGAGGCAATTTAATACTACAAATTAAACTACATCTTTTCCTCTCTGTTATGCTTTCAAGAACTCAGCCATCCTCACCACCAGGAACGAGCACACTACTGAGAATGAGCCTCCCTCAAAACATTTTCCCCATCTTTATAGCAGCATTCAGTATCTCATTGCAGGGAATTACCCTCTGCATACCAGTCTAGAAAGCTGAGAGGCTTCAGGAAAGGTAAAAAAAATCTATGAAAAAGCCCCCTTCAACCTGTTTCTGCCCGAACAGTGGTAGTGGTTTAACACTTTGCAGGCAGTTTTCACTACAAAACCCACTAGCCTGCAAAGAAAACATGAATTTGATCCCAAGAGTCATTACAACCACAGAGGCACCTACAGTTTCTTGGTCTTCCACCCACTGACTACCTCCAACTACTGTTTTGGTGTTTTCGAAAGCCACACGAGTGAGCTTGCTACGTAATCTTGCCAAGATGTAACTTGAGTTCCTGGCTGTACCTCTTAGTTTTCACCAACTCCCTCACACTAACTGATGATTACTTTGCATTTATACTCCTGTTTGCTCTTCAGGTGATTTTAATGGGCCCAGAGGGCTTGCAACCACACTGCCATAAGCAGAGAGCTCAAAAGCCATGACCATGCAAGTCAGTAGCCTCAGCTGTGTGGAGAAGCACGCTCTGAGGACAGAAGTTGTTGAAGTGTCACCCATGAGCAGAGACAATGGGTATCCAGAGCAGTCATGTCATACCACACATGCATTTCAATACCATAACCACTTCAGTTACATCAGAGTGCACAGCAGCTTTATCATTCCAAACTGGAGTGCCAGCAGAGCCAGCATTAGTGAAAGAATCTGAAAAACACTCTTCAACACTAACATGTTGAGGGTGCAGCTGCTGTTTTCTAAAGTGCTTTTTACACTAATCCCAGGTCTCTCATTCACTCAAAAAAGCCACGAGCAAAATGAGGTTTATTGTCCCAAATATCCTGGTGGGCAAGCCAGTGCTCTTACAGTTACCAGGACACAGACAACTATTGACCAGAGAGCTCAGGCATCCTTACTCCCAAGCAGGCAGATTAGAGAAAAAAGTCACACTCGCATAACTAGGCACAACGACCCTCTGGAAAAAAACCAACACACATCTGTGCCATCACCAGGTTTTCTAGGCAAGTGCTATTTCGGCTCAAGACAGCCCCAAGAGCATTTCATTATCAAGTCACAGCGTTGCAAAATCTACATAGGCAAGAAGTGTTTTGCAAGAGCCATGTGACACACACATGACTTGCAGCTAAAGTGAAGGGTGGACCTCTGACTACTAAGCTGCCAGCAGCGACCAGCCAGGAATATCGGCCTTCACAAAGAGCTGGTTTATTCCCCCCTCTCACTTGCCGGAGCCTGGGCTCCGATGCGCATTTTCGAGATCCGGAAAAATCGCCGTCAGCTGCGCCCATACTTACCCCGCTCCCGGGGTGGGAGGCGGGATGCCGAAGCCACCTGGATCACCGGGCCCACCCCACCGGTTTACAGCAGGGACACCAGGAACTTTTCACGCCCGCCCGGGCGT